ATAGTAATGATAGTAACGATAACTTTAGCTAAAGATTTCTTGTTTCTTGTTTCCCTATCATGTCAGTGTACTTCTGCCCAAGCTGGAAAATCAACCATTACACTTGCCTCACCAATAAAGCTTCCACTACGTTTTGCCGTGCACCAGGTAAGTAAGCCATACTTTCTTGTYATTGGTTATTGTACTATAAGCATGGGTGATATGATGTACGCTGCTAATGCACCGCTTCTCACCATTTTGTGGCTAAATTTGTTCCACGGGTCCGCCATCATGCGAGACAGCTATTCGTTATTGTCTTCGGATCCTTAGGTCTCTCTCTTTCAGTTAATAACCTCTTCTAATTTCCATTCCAAACTTTGAATTTTACCTAGATTAGGACTTAAGCTTTCCTTGGGGTTTTATATATGTTCAGACAAGTTAATTGTAATATATTCAAGTGACATAGCAGGACATTCACTTTTTCTGTAGGTCAGGTCCAGAGTGTTTTCTTCATGGAGTCAATCATGGAACATGTTGCTAAAGCACTCAACATGACACCAGAGGAAGTGAAAGAGAAAAACCTGTACGAGAATGGACAGGTACAAAAGAGGGACATCTTTTTTTAAGTGAAGGCTGAACACCTCGTAAAATGTTACACGATGTAAGCTAGCATTTAAGAARTGCTTTCATGCCTTTTTCCTTTAAYTGTAGAAAACCCCAACTGGTGAAACGATTCCACACTGTAATATCCGGGGACTTTGGAAAGGTATGCGAATTTGCCACATGACTTGATTTGAGATATATKATTTKTTGATTGGTCATTTCTTYAMYTTYTTCTCCTAAGAATTGCTGGAAAATTCTGAATTCGCAAAGAGAAAGGCTGCAGTAGAGGAATTCAATAAGGTATGATTGTACTTTGAGCGTATAGCACAGGATGGGCAGTGTCTGCCTGTCATCGTTGGCTGGTAATAAGATTCATTTAACTGGTTAATACCTAGCAATAGAATATTCTCTCGTTGATAAAGAGACG